CAGTACATACGCAACCTATCATTTTGTTTTATAATTCAAATTCTTCACTTGATTTAGCATTATTAATCTTTATATAGCAGTTAGATGTGGTGTATGTCCTGCCCAGCATTGAACTCACCAAAGCCATCGTCCATGCCTGCAACGAGACCCTGCATTGTGGCAGATGTTCCTGGGGGTGCTACGGCACTCGCGTATGCAACTATGGTGGTGTAGCACATGGCGTATGTCGGTCCCTGCATAAACAGCTCTACAGGCAATACCCACCAAGGAGATTGAATCAGAGAAATGAGACCCAAGCGTAGGGAGTATGCCATGAAGCAGAATGTAAGAGAGTGCCCATATCCTAGTTTCTTCAGAATTTTACCTAAAGAAAGAAAACATTAAGAGTTTCTAGTAAAATGAAATAAATAAGGAAACTCTGGCACATTGTTAAGATCACATGTAATCTGCCCCCTGTATTATGTTTCGAATTTTTTCATAGAAATGTTCATCCCCCATTCATATTTTCTGTATTACCACCACCTTAAAACCAACAGTTTACGCATTCCCGAGTTAGGAGCAATTCTAATGTCATTTAATGCAGAATCCAAACCTATTGTGTGGTTATACATCCATAAAACAGAAGTTTACTTTCATGTACTAAGTATATAAAACAGCAACATGGCCACCATGTGAAATATATAATACTCTTTTGTTTTATAATGATATTTGATGAACTACTGTAGTTAAGACTGTGAAATATGGTATGGATACAGGTAAAGAAATACACTGCACCCGAATATGTGAAAGTGAGGAGACTCGACAATACAAATTTTAATGTGCTCTTGAATTTCAACTTCTGTCCAGCTGGATAGCTCAAATGGGCTCATTTTGAGGCGTTTCTGTTACCATAATGAAGCGTGAGGAGCGAGCCACTGGCTATGGTCCCCTATAAATCCATTTCGGGTGATTCGCAATGAGATTACTTGCCATTAAGAGGGTGAATCCTCTGCTCAGACACTCGGTCAGGGGACGTAATGGCGTCAGTTAGGTCGCTACTTGCAGTCTGATCCAACTATAGGTGCGTCTCGTTCAGGAGGCAGATGTCACCCTGTTCAGTGAACAGCTGGTCCAGTTCAACTTTCTTACCAGCTTTCCAATAAGCCAGCAGGAAGGCTCTGGTCCAGTTCAACTTTCTTACCGTAACCCCGTCAGCTTTCCAATAAGCCAGCAGGAAGGCTTTGTATTCGACTATGAAGAACGTGGTGGTCTTTAGAACAGCTCGTGGGCCAGCTTTCCTTGTTGGCAGAAGACGAGTCAGCTCTACACAGCAATCGGTAGGAAGATTCACGAGGACATTGGCTATCACACAAGAGAGACAACAGACTCGGTGGGGTGGAAGATGCCGTGCCATCATCCTTGGAGTGAGGTGATTGGGCTTCCATCAGCAGCACTCGGTTGCAGCGACCTCGTATTGGCCACTCGTTCCTCTTGCCCAGATCGGATAAAGTAGCGGTTTGAGTAGGACTAAACAGGGCCTTGATCATGCGGCTGTCCTGGACAACGTGCTTCAAGTCCGAGCCCTTTGCCACTTTCCACTTACTGCAACCACACCGGCCATCTGACAATGTGATTTCGTCAGCCGCATCATTTTCATATACGAGATTTGCAAGGCCTTCAGCTCCCCTGGAATGTCGGCTTCAGCATGCTTTTGCCTAAATTTCTCAGCAGAAGGCGCCCGCATCGATCCTCTTATTTTTGTATTATTTCATTTTCTGTAAATCTGACTCTTTGAAACCAGAGGCTACTCCTTAGAAGCCGAAGCGTGTTTACATAATTTTCAAGAATCAGTCCAAACATCAAAGAAAACACAATCATTAAAAAATATCGACCACTTATGCTGTTTACAGAAATAATCACTGTTAACACAGAGAATCATACAAAAATGCAGAGTTGTTGGTTGATAAAGCAGGTGGTACGTATAGTTACCATTGGGCTTTAAGGTGCTAGACATTCATGAAACTTTTATCATTAGAATATTGACTAACCTGACAACATAAAGAATATAACTTCTCCAACGAGAGTTTCCACAGCAACTGTAATCCCTTCCAGCAGTTTTATGTTTTCCATGTCACCTGTGACTTGTGCCAGATCTTCCAAGTACCTTCACAAAAAACAATCATACTGACAATGGGTACTTGATGATCCAATGACAGTCCTACCCACCCCCCACCCTTCATTATCCATCTCTCTTAGATCTGCAATCTTATTTTCAATCTTCCAAGATGGCTTTCCCAAGAAGTTTCCCCACCAAAATTCTGTAAGTATCTGTCTGCCATATCTAGACAACTTTTCTGACCATTTATAACCTCCTTAGATGTTCAGTAATTTAGCATCTCACCTACAAAGTATATTTATGGGTTTCATTTGATTTTCGAAATAAAGAGATGTTCTTCTGATTAAAGATGCTGTGTGAATTACCTTGTAAGTTCTTAACTGCTGTGAAAACCACACATCTCATGTTCTTTTACCTTTGAAGGGGTATCTAAATTTGTACCATGATTGATTCACTGTTTAATAGTTAATAACGTGTCATGATAAATTAAGATAAATTAATATAATAATATTAGCATTTAAATCTAAATCACTCATATATTCTATTGTATTGGAAATGTGTGTGTCCGTGTAGTTGAGTTACAGTTTTGTGATACGGTCTTGTGTTATATTATTCGTGGTTTGTTTAGTGGAATTCAGTGCTACAGCTTGTAATTTTGATTTGTTGTTGTTCCAATATAATCCAACATCTGATTTTATTTTGTGCAGTGAGAAGGAAGAAAAGTAAAGGATAGAAATTGACTTTTAATTTAGTAAAAGGATTAGTGGGAGAGTTATAATAAAATATTTAAATATACACTGCCTGTAAAGGCTTAAGAAACTCAGTACTATTAATGTTAGGAATGAAAATACTGTATTCACGCCCGCAATAATTCACTCACCCTCATTTTGCACTGTGAAATGAAAAAGAAAAAAATACTTGAATATTTTAAGCATTTATTTTGTTCTAGAGCAGATTCACGATTTTGAAGGTGCGCTACTGGAGGAAGCAGAAACATGCTGTTCTACAAACTACGAAGAAATCCAAGAATGTATTTCGAAGACCGAAAAGTGGAATATTCCCTTAAATTTAAGATGACAAGGCAGGGCATCAGCCCTTCACAATTTAAAGCAAGCAGATGCTGGATGTTTCGCTTTATGAAGAGTAAAGAACCATCACTTAGAAGACAAACGTCGCTAAGCCAATGAATGCCAAAAGATTTTTCATGACGAGATCATACTATTTCATAAATTTGTAATCTGACTGAGAAAATACAACAGCTACTTGTTATCACAAATAGGCAACGCGGATCAAACTTCATTGTACTTTGATGTGCCGACTAACACGACAATCTAAGGCAAAGAGGAAACAGTACAATCATCCATGTAAGTGAGCAAAAGGCAACGTTGCTCTGTGATGCTCGCAATAACTGCGGACGGAAAAAAGATGTCGCCGTGAGCGATATTTAAAACCCAAAACCTAGTTGGTTCATTGCTTCGGTGACCTCTGCTTATGTTCGATAGTTTTCGCAGGCATTTGGCGGATGACTCGAATATAATCCTTGCGGAAATGAAAACTTATCTGAAGGGTAAACGTCAATTTTACAGCCACTTGGAGTGTCACCATGTCCTTCAAGAGCAATGTTAAAAGATAGTACACGCAGTGGATGGCAAAAGGTGGGCATGAGTTGACTCCGACAGGAAAGCTAGGAACACTGTCGATTCAAATAATGTGTAACTGGATAGTAGGAGTGTGGAACATGCTGTCGACGAGAATTATTAAGAAGAACTTTTTAAAAACGGATTACGAACGCTCTTGATGGAAGTGTGGACGACATATAGGTTGGAAACGAAAATGACGCGAAAAGGGGTGTTGGAACCGGCGAAAGACATCAGTTCCCCAAGACAATAGCGATGAATAACGTCATAACGTGGTAGGTAAGTCAAGATTTGTAGCTATATAAAACAACTGATATGAAAATATTGTGTATTATTCTTGGTAACAGGAAATGCATTTTGTCGTTAAAAGGCTTGTATAAATTCTTCTTCGTATAAATAATCCCAGTTTTCGATCACAAAAATACGGAAAATAAGTGCAAGAATTATCGGAGTAAACACAGTATACGTGAATTACTCCATTTCATTCATAGGTTCAGGGAGTATTGATGACAAAAAAGAGATTAATCACATACCCAACCAATATACATTCACCCTGAAAATGGCAACTGCAGTGTTTACCAAAACACTGGCTAAAATTCAACAGGGCTCATCCCAAAGAACCGAAATCACACAAATTCTGTGATGTTGCGGTGTGTCACTAGCACTCCACTGGAACAGAGCCATGTCATGTTAATATGTCGTCCATAAAGAGTTAATAGTACCTAATCTTTACTCACCAGAATAGAAAATAGATAATGAAACTATCCATTACTCCTGCTAGTGTCGCAAATACGAGGAATACGATAATATGTTTGTGCTTCAGGAGTTGTCCGACATCTCGCAAAATATTGTCAGAGCGGGGAATGGGTGGCAGCTGAAACAAGAAAAATGTGATAGATTTTATTTTCTTTACTCTCTACGAAGTAGTGTTTTGAGTCTGGAAATTTTATATCCCCATTTTCACGCACTATTTGGATTAAGCGAATGAAATTTTACCATCCCCAGATCAGTCAGTACCTTACCTTGACATGAGAACAACACACTATGTCCATGACAGCAAATACCAACACTACAATAAATGCGGGGGTGTAGTCTTTCGTGGGACTCCCGGCAGACCACCAGTCTATAGCGAAACCTGCAACTAATGCTGTTATACCAAACCCAATGGTGCCCCAAACACGCTGGCGCCCATACTTCATCTCTCCTCCGCTGCCTGTAACATATGAATAATTCATTCTTCTCTGTGATCTATTATGTATTCAAATTTACATTACAAATTATGAATAGCTGATACAGATATACAGGACTTGGGTACTTGTGGGTTATCGGGACACATCGCTTTAAAAATAGGTTAGGTTAGGTTAATGTGTGTGGATAAATGACATATACTTGAAAGTTATTATATTTTATTTCAATAAATGACAACCTAACCTACTTTTAAAGCAATGTGTCTCGATAACCCACAAGTACCGAAATTGTCTTTCTGAGTGTTAGCTGGGCTAATATGATTAACATGCTCTGCTCTTTGTTATAAGATGTAAAATATATTTCAGTATATGTGAACAGAGTGAGTGTTTCCATACGATTTTCTGCATATTAGACTTGTATTGTGATTAAATTCACTCCGTGTTTAAAGATGCAGTATTGCTACGTTTGTTAACACAGCAATACAATTTCATTTACAATAAAAGTAGGGAATTTTCTGACCAGTTGAGTTTCTACCAACTATTAAAAAATAACTCTGCACCATAAACTTCAGTGGTTTGTTACTCAGTGTCATTTAAGTGAGGTACACACAGCTTATATGCATACCATAGCTATCCTATTAAGAGTCAAGCCTAAATATTAAAATTGACTTAAATTGTAGCCTGGTAGTGGTACAGAAACTGTAACGATAATCACATATCAGATAGTCGGGTACTAAAACAAACGCTGTGATAGTGATGATTTCCAAATAACCTGGTTTTGTGGTTCTATCAAAACACTGTAAATAATGACTGAATCTCAAATAATTACAGGGTCGTATCACAGAAACTGTAATAATTTTATTGTAATGTATGAAGCACTTAAAAATTAAATCGCTCACCCTATAAAGATTCAAACTTCTCCACTCTGGAAATAGTGACAAGTTGAGTTCTGCTAGGGTCACAACTTAAATAAGTGAAGTTCCTTCAGCGATAAGAACCTTATCAGAACATAATATTTGATGATGACACTAGTATCGTAATTTCTGACATAGATTTTGATAATTTTTATGCATGGGCAATTCAGTTCTGTAAATGGTTTACTGCAAACAAACTAGCCCTAAGTTTATATAAAACAATAATAATAAAGTTTGTAGCAAATAATTTGCCAAATTATGCATGGATATAATCACGACGGACGCCCTATGCACCAAGGAGGTCAAGGCAAGGATAGCCATGGCCAAGGCAGCTTTCGTCAAGAAGAGGATACTTCTCACTAGCAAGTTGGGCTTGGAGATGAAGAAGGAACAGAAATACCTGGAGAGTTTTGAAATGTGGTGTTGGAGAAGAATAGAGATCGAGTGACCAACGAAGAAGTATTGAGGAGAGTCAACGAGCAAAGAAACATTCTGCAGGCGATTACACGAAGGAAAGCTAACTGGCTGGGACATATTATGAGAAGGAATGGGTTACTGAGTGATATCATCGAAGGCCAGGTTGAAGGAAAGAGAGGACTAGGAAGAAGATTGATACAGCTAACCGACGACCTTAAACAAGGAAAGAAGATGACGTTCCAGGAATTAAAACGAGAAGCCGAGAATAGGGACAACTGGAGAGCTCTTTTTGGGCAGAGCAATGGACCTGTCGTAAGACAGAACACTTAATAATAATAATAATATTGGGTATTGTAGAAAATATACATGCACACTAGTGCTGATTGTCTCTCTTGTAATAGATGCCCCAGTTTTTTCACTTAAAAAATTTATTATTCTAATATAAACCTGTATTTTTCATTCAATATAAAGACGATTTGCTGATTACTGTTCATTCGAAACCTGCCTTTCATTATACAATGTTATAAATTTGTAGGCCAGAGCGTAACTATGACCTGAGGAAAGGTCTCCAACAAAATAGATTTTGTTTTGTTAAGAAAAATTCTCTACATTTCTTTTCATAGGGATATTACTACAAAACAATTTTACCTGTTGCTTAATGAGTGTAAAACTTGGTCTCAAACCCTAATGGAAGAACATACTTGTAAATTGAAGGTGTTTGAGACCAAAATGCCAAGGATGACATTTAGAACTAACAGAGAGAATGCTACAAGGGAACAGACGAAGTTTCATAATCTGTACTGTTCGCCATAAGTGGACTGATAAAGTACGAAATGAGCTGGTTTTAGACAGGATAGACGAAGGAAGATGTCTATGGAAAAATCTTATGAGAAGAAGAGATAGGATGGTGGGACACATTCTGAGGCACCCAGGATTGGTTAATTTGGTAATGGAAGGAACAGTTGAAGGGAAGAATTGTACGGGGAGACAAAGATTGGAATATGTGAGGATGTGGAAATGAAGAGATTGGCGAAAGATAGGCGAAAATGGAGGACCACATCGAACCAGTCGGAAGACTGATGACAAACAAACAACTGTTCGCCAAATATTGTGATCAAATGAGGGTAAGCCATGTGACATTCATGGAGAAGATGCAAAATGCTCACAAAATTTTAGTCATAAAACAAGACAGGAAGAGGCGACTTGAGGGATCAAAGCACAGATGTGAGAATAATTAAAATGGATCTTAAGGAAATGTGATCTGGATTCATATGGCTTACGATATAGTGCGATGCTGGTGTGAACATGATAATGAAACCTTCAGGTCCCACAAAAAGCAAAGAATTTCTTGAGTGACCTTCTTAAGGACTCTGTTCCAAGGAGCTCATTCTTGTCCTGATTCTCAGTTTGAAGAAGTTATTTAATGGGAAATGCCTTATCGTGACATCATTTGCACATTCTTACAATTTTTTTCTTAACGTAATCCCTGTGGTAGGTACCAACAAGACAGATATGCGAACACCTCACCTAAAACATCAAAGCAGATGGCATCACTGATGCTGTTTGCCACATTAAACCCGATAGTCCCAAGGGACATTAGAAGAACGAAACCCGCGAATGCTGGTGTACCATACAGACAATCTTTCTCCCTCTCTGTCTCGTGCAGTACACAAGAGAGTTCGCACTGACTATGGTTGTCGCTAGGGTTGCAGGTAAAAGAGCTGGCGTTTCCCACCGCACAGGGAATCACGGTGGCATTCGTAATATTGGTGACTGAAGATGTCGTCAACAGGACATCCAGAAGCGTTTTGTTGTCAGATGTCCCACAAGTCCAGTTGCATATTACTCGCTTGTAATGTCCACATCCAGCAGCCTCGGACAGTTCCTGCACACACGCAGTAAACACAAGATGCTTCTACCATTCACCAGTAACAAATCAAAATTATATTCATTAAGAAATTGCGATTAGATTAAATTAAGGGAATTCTTACCACCATTAACTTCAGCGTCTTTTATCTCATGTCATGTGTAGAAAGTTAATAATAAACAACTATAATTTTAACATTTTTATACAGAGGTCTTTTATCTCATGTCATGTGCAGAAAGTTAATAATAAATAACTATAATTTTAACATTTTTATACAGAAGTGAATCTTGGTCTCCACCTGAAAGGGTGGAGACCAAATTGAAGATCTTTGGAGAGGACGAAGGAGGAGAATGCAGAAAATTGGGCAATGACGATTACCAAATACATTGGGGTGAAGAACTCGAGGAAGATGAGATGAGTAAGGAATTTAGAACACATGGATGATCTGAGAAGTGCATACAAAATTTGAACTAGGAAATCAGAAGTGATGATTCTAAGGCGTAGATGAGAAGATGATATTAAATCGGAGTAAGAATATGGACCGGATTCATCTGTCTTAGCACACAGGATAAAATGGCAGCATCTTGTGATGATGGTAATGACATCGCTTACCCAACTCTGACAAATATCCAGTTGGTCGCACTGAATGCCAGACAAGTGGTAGGTTGATTTGTCTGTGATGAATGGTCCATCAGGCTGTGGTATGAAGTACAGGAGCACATAGCACAGGCTCATTGTACACAGCAATCCCATGAACACGGTCTTACGTTGTTCTTGGAAGTAATCCACGATTAGGCCAAACAGTGGCTTGGCAAGTAGGAACAAGATTGGCAGAATTGCTGTAATACTTCCCATCACCACCTCAGACACTCCCAGCTGCTTTCCAAACACATTTAGAAAAGGCAGTATTGGGCCCAGAGCTGCAAACAGAACAAATGCACGTCCGAATGACCTTATTTCTGAGACGTGCAAGATAAGAATTGGTATCGGAACATATACGAAGGAACTTCATGTTAGTAGTAACATGAACATTCATTTTAAGTGCTACTGCTTCATAAATTTTAGAGATGTGAGGTATTGCAGATGAGATGACAAAAACAGTTATCTTACAATCAGTGTAGACAATTTGGAATTTATAAAAAGATAAATATCCAGCAATAAATGATGAATATTTATGTTTCAAACTAGCGATGGCTGGGGGTTCGTCGTGCTGACCACACGTCACCCTGTATCTGGTTCGATGATCGTTCACCTCTGCTTAGGCATGTGAACGTGAGGCCAGCAGCCAGCTAGTCGGCTTTGGCTCTCTGGAGCTGTTACGCCACAGATTTAATTTATGTTTCAAGTATATAGCAACAAACAGAATTATTATTTCTGCTCCTAGTGTCATAGGAGAATATTACCATGGACGAGACTCCTCCTTAAGAAGCTATTTAGTCACTCCGTTGTTCAATAAAATTCCACGTTTCCCCATGAAACCCAAAGGTTCACAAAAATCAGGTACTGGCCCCTATCATGAGTAAGTTAAATCCAATTATTCTTCCTTATGTCTAAGTGGTCTCAGCCCTTCAGGTTTTCCATCTAAAATTTTGTAAACATAAATTTAAAAAACTACATCATGACCAGTCAATATAAAATGCATTGTCTGTGATTGAATTTGTTTGGACACACGTTCAATTCATGACGACATCTTGAGGTCGAAAGACGTTTGGCACCAAGTGTTTCTCAAATTGTAAACAGATTTGTTTGTATGCATGATTTTATATATTTTAGACAAATATTCATTTGATCGCCAGGAGGGGCAAAGAATTTTTCTGTATCGAGACTAGCTCTGGGGCCTACCTGACCTCCTATCCAGTGGGTATGAGGAGTTCCTTTCCCAGGGGTAAGATGTGGCCAAAGTTCGATTCCTACAACTCGTCCCATACATTGCCAAGGTCAAAACAGAGCAGGAGAGTAGTGCACCTCTACCCTCCAAGGGGTGTATGGGGGGGCAAAGCTTTACTTTGTAATTAACAGTTCATGCTTTACCCTCGCTCCTTGAGATTTCTGACTTCCTTCTACCTCTCACACTGTTCAGAGGCCACCATAAAGTTAAATAATAATGTGTTTGTTGACGATGGACATTTCCCCTTGCAGTGACCAAGCTTTCATTACTTACATGCCATGAACAAGAAGTAATGTGCCTTAACTGGAAGCAGCTTGTAGTTTATTTTTGATTTCCATGTAGGAGAGTCAGCGGAAGACACCGATTTCTTGTTACTGTCCATAATGATACGTGTACTTGAGTGGCTTCAGGTTATGTAGTCCTGAAACATGACAATGAAGTAGTTTTTAACCAACTTCACATCAAGCTCAGATCTACCTTTGTCGGTTTTCTAAACAAAAATACTCATTTCACAATTGGAATCAGCATATTATATAAAACATTTCTTCTTACATATATATATATATATATATATATTGCTTTCTTTAGAGACAATTTTCAGTATGGCAATCATATTTTTAGAAATCAAAATAAATAATATTTGAGTCTGTGGAGTGACAACTTTTCAGTAGATACGTATAGACGAGACGACTTTTATGTACTGATTTGGAGTACATGTTTCACTCTTTTTTCGTGTGAAGAATGCAAAAGTCTGGGATGAACATCCTGTATAACAATTATTAGGTCACACCAAATCATACAAAAGTATGAAAATTAACATAGGATATGAGACACAATTCTCCTTTCTGTATACTTAGCTTGAAGATTTCTGTCTTCTGGGCGATAAATACTCATCGCCCTGATGACGGAGGCAGTATGACCTCTGAAACGTTGGTAAACATCGACCAGACTACACAGCGCAACAACCCAGAAGACAGAAATCTTCATACTC